TCTGAGCATGATCTCATCAGTTGGAACAGAGTATGAAATAAAACACGAAGCTTTCCCTCTTTTTTGAAGGATCTGTTTTATAGATGTTTAAATTAGAGATTCCTTGAACTGGAGGATAATAGAGAAGGGTCCACAAAGGAAATAGGAATAAAGCAACATGGGTTTAAATAATTGAATGTGAGCAAAAAGTAAAGTTTATCACATCAGACATACCCTGCTCTCTCACCCCTCCTCCGCCCTGAAATGGTGGGCATGAAATGCCCGTGGTGGACAGCAAAGACTGCAGAGGGCACCCCGGAGGGAACCGCGGCCTTGGGCACCAGTGTCAACAGGAAGGTGGGAAGCTTCCCAGGGTGTTTTTCCTGGAGTTGAAGTCTTCTCTCCCTCCGGGACTGTGAAGTAGCCTCGCCAGCCCCTGGAGTTCAAGAGCACTTTCCTTCTCTTCCTGTTTGCCTGCAGGGGCTTCTGCAGCAGCAGCAGCAGCTCCTGGAAGTCTAGACCAGATACGCCGTATCAGAGAATCTCCTGTAAACATTGTGGGTCAGTGACTCACAATTTGAAGAAAGGATTATTTTGTATAAAAGATCTCTAAATTGCACTTTAAAGACCCAAGCCATTTTCTTAGAATACCGTCTAAAGTTAATCACGCACAGGCCTAGTGAATTCGTGGCATTTTCAAACCGTTTGATACTCTCGTAGTCGGAGCCGTAGCATTTCAGCGGTTTGGAGGCACTTTTGTAGATATCGCCATTCTTGGTGCTTACCTGGCTGATTACTGACTTCTCCTGAGTTTTGTTGGTGATGGAAACCTTTTCATTAACAGTAAGGTGAGATAACAGTGGGGTTTTTACATGGGCTGAAGGGCACTTTTGAAAAGATACAATTCTTAAATGTATTTAAAATATGACTCAGGATGCTGCAGAAAATGGTCACCAAAAAAATATAAGAATAATAGCAGATGCTAAAATTTCTTTCCCAAAACTTAACAATAGCCAAAAGAGCCATTCATTGGAAGAACAGAAGAGGGGGAGCTATTTGGGACATCTTTTTTTTAACGAAGACTGGGCTTTTTTAGGGGGTCTAACTTCCTGACAGTGGGACTGGCAGCAAGTTCACGTATTATGCAAGGAAGATAGAAGTACATTCTGCAACTTTGGCCTCGTAAGCTGTGATCATTTTTAAGGTTGACGAGCATAGTTCGCTATGAAATGAAGCAAGGAACTTGGCATTTATACATCGTGAGTCAATTTTGACATCAGCCTGGATTGGGAATTGACTGGAAGGTTTGGGGATTGGACTGTGGCTGCACTTGAGTGTCTCGATCCAGAGGCATGCATGAGCAATACTTCCCTTTGGGCTTTGGCCATTAATTTGTGGAATGGAGCAAGAACTGGAGAGGAAAATTGAGAGGCTGCCTTGGATTTCCTGACGTCCTGTTGAATCAAAAAGCAGTGGGAGGCCCTTTCCTTCCTGACAGAGGCCTCACCCCTGCACATGACATTCCCGGCATCCGCCTCCGTGTTAGAGCCAGCCCTTCTTTCACCTATACTTGAAACTTTCCCATGGTCGCCCGTGGGCGAGTAGCTGCGATCCGCCTATTCCAGGTGTTTTCCAGGCCACTTCCCCTGATTATGTAACTTTGATCAAATCCAGATGCTGCAGAATGTTTGATAGAAGAGGTCAAATGGCATTTGAGAAGAAAAGCATTTCTGTATTCATGACTTAGGTTTAATTTCCTGTATGGGCCTGGTCTGCCAGAGCTGTATGCTGTGGCCACAAGGAGGGGACACCAGAGGGAAGTGCACAGATACTTTTTCAGGACGACTTGAGAAGATCCCCTCCTCGCCCAGGAACTTTTTCATGCTAAATTATCAATTATATAAGTGTCAGCTTCTAACAGTTTTTCTATTTTTGTAATTGTTTCCCGATTATAAAAATCCACATTCATTGCGAGAAATACTCCGAAATACAGAAAAGAATCAAGAAAGTTTTACATGTTCGTATTCTCACCCCCCCGAATTAACTGCTGTTCACATCTCAGAGCAGTTACTTCTGGACTATTTTCGATTTCTATAAAATTGATAATTGCTGGGAATATATTCCCAAGCCATTAGATATTTTTTCCAATAATTATTTCGAATGGCTTTATGAATATATTCCATTTTATGGATGAGACCGCAAACTAGCTTGTCTTGTATTGATAAATATTTTTGTATTTTCTTTTCGTGTGCTGTTATTCAAAAACCAGCATGTACAGATCATCGTGTGGGTCTCTTAGGATAACTTCCCACAGGTAGATCAAAGGTTATAGAATTTTTAAAGGGCCAGGTTCTCATTTCCAGTTGCCCTCCTAAATGTCACAGCAGTTTCTGTACCACATATGAGCTGGCATTGTGTGAGTGCCCATTTCATTCAGTCTGAACACTGAAGAAAATGTACCTGTCAATTTGTTGAATAATTTGCATTTCTTTGATTACTAGAGAGTTAACAGGCTTTCTGTGTTTAATAATAATTTAAATTTTCTGTGAATTGCTTATTCTTGGTTTTGGTTCTTTTTTTCCATAAGTGGGAGGATTTGTCTTTTTCTTTTGATATGCAAGGGTTCTCTTACGTTGAGAATCCTTTGCCTAATAGTTTTAAGTAATATAATGACAATTACATTACTTAAAAGAAGTTCTTTCGACTGACTTCCGCTTAACTAAATTGCCAAACTGACCTGCACTCCACTTCCTTTGGGATACATGCGTGCCTCGTGCCGAGGCGTGGCACACGGGATAGGGACTCCACCGTGGTCCACTGAGTCGTGGCCACATCAAGAGCCGGTTGTGTTTCTTTCCAAATCTGTTTATTTTAGATACTACTCGCTGTTTTTATTACTTGGGTAATAAGAAACCAGTGAAATCAAATGTGAAAGAGAATTGTTTCTATGCAAATGAAAATGCTTTAGACAGACTCAATAAGGGCAGGTAATTTTTTAAACACTGCTACCGGACCAGGCAACTTATAAGCGATTGAAAGGGATTACGCTGGATTACATATCGAATGGCTCTGAATCCTCCCGCCACCTTCAGGAAATTGAACTAAAAGTGAGATGAGGTATTACAGGTGTGACTTACAGAAGAAGACACCACCCAACCTAATCAGATGCCCACACTCGAAAGGACAGTCCTTGGCCCTTTAGTCAAAACTGACCAGCGAACTTTCAGATGGAGGTGGGGGATCACATATTTTAATAAAGAAATAATAATTTATTTTTGGTTAATTGATCAATCCCCAATCACAGTGGCGCTAGACATACTTTTAGAGCCTGACACATCACTAAAGCTTTTCCGTATTCCAAGAAATGTTGCTGTTACCAGACCCTCTTCCTTGCCCCCCATTATTCATGAGATGAAATGACCAAGTATAGTAGTGACATAATTTGCAGTTTACTCTCTTAGGAAAACAGTTCCTCTAGGTTTACTTCAGTCAGTAGTAGCACAAAAACTAGAATCGAAAGACCTTCGTTATTTATATTTTACTGATTTATTCCAAAGAAGTGTTATAAAGAATGTCCATTTCTGAAAATTCTCCAGTTACATTTCTAGAAGTTTAGCTTAGTCTCTCAGATATCTTAGGTGCCTCCAGTGGGTTGTTTGTTTTCTTTTGATTTTTTAAGTGAATACTGAAGAATCAGGCCCATCCCCGAGATGGGTGTGATTGCCCAAGAAAAGATGTTTGGGGGAGAGGGGAGTCTTTTAAATCCATAAAGGGAGAAAATTAAAACAATTTTGTTTTGTTACCATTTGAGTTTGGCTTAAGCATATGGTAAATCCTTCCGTTCTTTTCGAATTAGAATTTCTCCTCTCCCCTTTTTAAAAAAGTTTGATTTCTTAATGTAGTTGCCTTAAACGAGTATTCAAATTTCACTCCATAATATCCTACAATTGTTAAGATCTACTGGGAATAGATTTGCTGGTTTCAAAGGACCCTTGTACGCATTTGTCATCACGGAGAAATTCTAGAGAATTTGAGCATAATTCAAGACGACGACAAGAAGAAACTTCAAGAAAAAAAAGATGAACCGTTTGACCCTATAGTGAACAATAGTCACACATTCCTAATATAAGGGATGTTGATTGGTTTTCAACTTTAAGAATATATGTATAGACAGAACATGAAAAATTTTATTACAGAATAGAAGAAACACTTTTCACAAGGTGAAAGAAAGTATAAAGAAGGCCATATTCGAGAGTAAGCTAGAGTGAGGAAAGCTGGAAGGAAGTGTAGGATGTAAACATCCTTATCTTAGGAAGTCAATAGTTGAGAGATACTGTCTCTAGCTGGTAGAACAAGAAATACAGGCGTAAGTCTGATACTGAAAACACAAAGGTAACCAGTAGAGGATGGCACAGGGAGGCGGAGGGATGGAGGGATAGGGCCGAGCAGGGGTTCTCCCACGCAGCTTATGTTTAGAGATGGAAGTGATCACACGCACGCACGCGCGCGCGCACACACACACACACACACACACACACAGCTGGTGCCTCTGGGTGTAGAGAGGAATGGGATAGAAAATGTTTGTCTTTCATTAAAAACCCTTCTGTGCTATTGGATTTTAAATTAGATGCGTACATTTAAAAATACATGATACATTTAAAAATGTTTTAAAGCTAGAAACTTTCCTTCCATATTATAACATAAGCAATGGCAGACTTACAAAGATGGGCTTTTTCCATTTCTAACAGAATTCATTTTGCATTAATAAATTTGAAAAGCTTAAACTATTTGAGAACGGTAGTTATCACCTTGGAATGAAAATACTTAGTATTTCTCACAAGAGTTGAGAAAGGGAGAGTCAATGTTTTTAGTGACCTTTTTAATACATAATATGTACAGATGTTAAGAAATGAAATAAATTAAGAATGTATAATGTTGGAAACATGGACTTTTTTTGTTCCTGTGGATAAAATTAATTTTCCTCTCAATTTTTCTTACTGTTTCTTTCATTTCTCTTCCAGAAGCCCTCCAAAGGCCAGTAGCATCTGACTTTGAGCCCCAGGGTCTGAGCGAAGCGGCTCGTTGGAACTCCAAGGAAAACCTTCTTGCTGGTCCCAGTGAAAATGACCCCAACCTTTTTGTTGCACTGTATGATTTTGTGGCCAGTGGGGACAACACTCTAAGTATAACTAAAGGTAAAAGGGCGTGGACAGCTGGCGGTGGTTGCAAGAGACAGAAATCAGGGGACACTGTGGCTCGACTGTCGACCCCTTTGCAGATTGAAAGAACAGGTTTAAAGTTCGGGATGCAGAGAGATCCAAAATATTAAATAGCATCTCTGTAAGAGAGTCACTTTTCCATGAAAAGAGTTCCTGTACAGTCATCCTCAGCAAAGCAGAGCTTCCTTATTTGATATTGATAAAGGCACCTAGAACACTGAAAACACTTTCTTTAAGAAAAAGTATTTTTTCCCTAAAAAGCTTTCTTATATTAGAAATAGAGCACTCGAATAAACATAATAGGTTTATAAAAACAGGTTATATATTTATCTGTGCATTCAATACAAGTAGGGAGCTTTATGTAAAATGTACTTTTACACACTTATAAATACATATATTTATGTGGATTTATTAAAATGAAGTAGATGTTTAAGAATTTGGAAAGTTTTAATAATCATGCAAAAATAAGTGAGAATGAACGAATTAGCCTTTTAGCTGATGCGTCTGATTTGGTTCTTTTCTTCTCAGGTGAAAAGCTCCGGGTCTTAGGCTACAATCACAATGGGGAATGGTGCGAAGCCCAAACCAAGAATGGCCAGGGGTGGGTTCCAAGCAACTACATCACTCCTGTCAACAGTCTGGAGAAGCATTCCTGGTACCACGGGCCGGTGTCCCGCAACGCCGCCGAGTACCTGCTCAGCAGTGGCATCAACGGCAGCTTCTTGGTGCGGGAGAGCGAGAGCAGCCCCGGGCAGAGGTCCATCTCGCTGCGATACGAAGGGAGGGTGTACCACTACAGGATCAACACTGCTTCCGATGGCAAGGTAGGGGTCCCAGGCGCGGGAGCTGGTGGACGGGGTCAGTCTTTGGCTAGGAGAAGCCAGAGGTCCCTCTGCTGGGTTGATAAGTTATTGCAGCAAGGCTCAACCAGGAACACATTTGAAGACGCTTTCAAGTAAACAGGCGACATCATTCCATCAGCCTTATGAAAGACCCTCTGTTGAGGACCCATCACATGGTAGTGCAAGTCCATGGGCTGGTATGGTTCTCCGATTGTCTCGCTGGACTCTTGTCAGCAGTTTCATAAGAGAGGGGGAATATCTGTTGGGTTTTGTGCAGACCTCTTACACTAAGACACTTCCTTTTTAAAAGATCTCTTACGATGGTAATTTATCCTCAGTGAGTAAAATTCAGACAATAATAGTTGGGTATTTTTAAAGCAAAAAGCCACCTTAATAGCACCTCATCAAAATAAGTCTGGTACATGGCCTTCCCATGGATAAAATTGTGTGCGTGTGTCTCTGTACATAGTTTTTAAACAAAAATGGGATCACATTATACCCGTGGATTTCCAAACCCAAGCTATAGTTTTGTAAATGAATGTGATCATATCAACAGTCCTTAGGAATCCATGAAGTGAGGGGAGGAACGAGCATAGTTACTGCCCCTACTGTGTGCTGGGGCATTTCTCAGTCTTCATCTCACTTAAAGCTCACCTCAGTCAGTCTTCGGGGCAGGTACTGTTATAAGCTGCATTTTTGCAGTAAGGAAAGGAAATGAGGCTTAGAGGGATGAAATTTCTCGCCCAAGATGACAGTGAGTAAATTGATGGAACTAGGCTGCGACCACACTGTCTGCTCTACTGCACTGTGTCGTCATTGAGGATGTAGATAGGTGGCTTGCCGGGGTGGGTCCAGATGGTGTATGTATTTTTTAATAACATGTAATACATGCACATGGTTTAAAAAAATGAATTACAATGAAAAGTAATTCTGTCTCCTAATTTACTTCCGTGCCCAGAGGCAGCCACTGTAACTAGTTTCTTCCAGAGTTACCAGATGCATATATGTTTACGTTTTTAAAAAAACACAAATGATGCATACTGCACACTGTTGTGCATCTCGCTTTTCCCACCTGATGGTATATTTTGGAGATTGTTTTATGACAGCACATTTAGAGTTGCCTCATTCCTATTACTGACTGCACAGCACGGATGGCCCATTATTTATTTAAGCAGTCCCCTGCTGGTTGACATTTAGGTTGTTTCCAGTTTTATGCTGTTACAAATAATGTTATGAGGTGGCTTTCTACTCTTAAAAAAATCTTGGCCTGCTGTAAAAAAAAATTTTTTTACATCACCACCAGATACACTAATAACAAAAGGTAAAACCCCTACTTACTCTTAATTTATGTAATGCACTCTGATATTTTGTATTCCATTCTGTTGTTTCTCTTTAATTGTGGTCATAATCCACTAAATTTATTTCATAGACCCCCTACTGGGTCATGCCCTGCAGTTTGGAAGTACACTGCACATACTTCTTTTGCACAGTGGAGAGTATGCAAGATAAGTTGCTAGAATTGATTGAAGGTTATATGTGATTAAAATTTGTGTAGATATTGCCCGATTACCTTCTATAGAAATTGTACAGATGTGTTTCTCACCAGCAGCATATAAGAGTGTGTGTTTTTCCTCACTGTCATCAGCAGTATACTATCAGACTTGTAAAAACATCTCTGTCACTAGTTGGTAGAGTTGATATCGCGTTAATGTTTAATTCGCATGTGTCGTATTTTGAGTGATTCCTATGCCATTTACTGAATTTATCTTTTCCTACATATCTGAAATGCACCAGATTTGCATATATATTTATGTCTGTCGATCTACTCTCTGTAGTCTTTCATTAGTCTATTCATATGTCAATACCAGACTTAATCGGTATAGCTTTAGAATATGTTTTATTTTCTGGTAGGACTAGTTCCCTCTTTTTAGCATTCTTATGACTATCATCACACATTTATACCATACAAATGCACATGCACACAAACGTGTGTGTGTGTGTGTGTGTGTGTGTGTGTGTGTGTGTGTGTACTTAATGTTCTTATCTGTTGCATTTCTTCCCCATGTGTCAGGGTTTTCTGGCCAAAGTCCTATTGTCAGTATCAGCACTTTCCATCACCGCAGATGTCTTTACACAGTGCCATAGTTTGTACGACTGACCACGTCGTCTGTCGTCGACGTGTGACTAGCGATCAGCCTTACCAGCTGGCTTTTCAGGTCATCGTTTTTACGCTAGGTTGGAGCTCGGTCCTTCCTTCTGCAGGATGTATTAGGGTGGTGAGCCCTTTCGAACCTTGCCTTCAGACCTCAAGGGTGCCTATTTAGTGACTTAGGACACCTGAGGACACCGCCCCTAAGGGAGGTGGTTTCTTCTCTGTGCTGTTTGTCCAGGGCAAGCCATGCTGCACTAGTCATCAGCTGAGGTTTGTGCTGAATAGGGTAGTGCTCTCTTTTCTCTGGAGTTGTTTAATCGGCATCCTTGGAACAGATGCAGGCAGTCATGATCTAGTTTGACAGCTCAAAGGGAAAGAACAAGGCCTGTTGGGGGGTGCATGACTTGCAGAATTTGAGAGTCAGCCATTGAGGAAGCCAGCCCTTTTATATAAAAGCCAGCTTCCTCTCACTCCAGGTGGAGCATGGGGACCTCATATGATCAGTCACTACCTATCACTGGGCAGCTCTTCGAAGTATCCTAGGCCTCTTGTCCTCCCGCTCCCTGGCAGAGACCCTCCCTTCAGCTGTCCGAGCATCTGGAGACTTCTGGTCGCATGGGGTCACCAGGCAGACCGTCTGCAGAGGCTCCTCTCCGAGGGCCACACCTGAGGAGCCAGTGTTGGGTGGGGTTGCGTCCCTGGAATGAGTAGAACAGTGTCAGAATGGGAGGTACTACAGAGATGCGTGAGTCTGTGGCTCGGCACTGACGAAAGCTGCTCATAGCAGAGCTTTGACGCAGTCCTTGTTGGGTCTCTAAGGGGAAAATTTAAGGTTGGTAGGAGGGACAGGCTAGGGTTGAATAAATTGAATTCTTATTCTGAAATTAGCTAATCTTTAAAAAACAACCGAATTTAGAAGATTCTTCTCTAAGGCCCCAAAGGATTTCTTTCTGTCCCCACCCTCTTGGCTCTACTTTACCTCTTTCCCCATGTCCCTGAGCTTTGGGTAGTCAGCCAGCCCAGGGTCACCAGCTCAGGGCCCAGAGTCTGGGACTAGGGAGTTTGGACCTGGACTCTTGAAAGGGCCTCACCAGACAGCCATTGCTGTTTCCTAGGAGTCTTGACAGTCTAAAAATCATCAGATACCCTGGGATTTGGTGGTGGTTCTTTGATCCTTTCTCAAACTTTGTAATCCTCTGCCAACATAGGGGAATTAAAGACTGATTTTTCTCCACCCTACTCCCTGCCGCCTAAGTCCCTCTCAGTTCATCTGTGTTTTTTGGTGCCTCCACCTTATTTACTTCTGTGGGGTGCCACTGTCAAGTTCTGCAGTTCCTGACAGCCTCGACAGAGTCTTTCCTTTTCTTCAAAGAGATGCCTAGCTGACATTTATTTCCTCCAGTCTGCTGAAGTGACAGGTTCGGGTTGACGGGAATGGAATTTGGGCTTAAGCTTTAGCAGAGGTGGCAAGAAAGGCCAACCTTATATAGCGTCTTGGATTTTAAGATTTACCCACGCTGACAGTGGTTCAGGAGGGGCAGGCATCCCGGTGAAAAGCCCACCAAAACATGGCTGACATTCCCTTGTGCAAGAGACTGGGAGCATTATTAATTACTGCTTAATTATTAAGTACTGCCTTTCTGCTGGTACATGAGATGCTCTTGGAATGATGCTTCTAGCTGAGCAGCGTGTAAACAGTACATGCACATTGGGTCTCCGGAGTCTGAGGCAGCTGGAGGGTGCACGGGTCCAAGCTCTGATAAGTCTGTGAGTATGGCTGTCAGGAGGCAAGCCATTTCTGTGGAGTTTCTTTGACAAGTCTTGTCTTTCAGATTCCTGCACAATTAAGACAAGGCACAGCCCTGGCTGAGCACCCAGAGTGTTTATATGAACGAATGCACAGCATACTGACATGCCATTCAGAATGCTGATTTCACGTTCTTCTCTGAACGTGCCACGCATTCCTGGTGAAGATGACCGTGTTCACTAGCAAGTGCTGCTCAAGAACTAGAACTAATCAGACAGAGGCTGCCGACTTGACCGTTAGAAGACGGCTGTGCAGTGTGTTTCAGGGGCGTGGCTTTAATATTTAGCCACAGAGGCTTGGTGTATAAATTTTATATTGAAAGATGAACTAAGTCATAGGGTCTGTAAACTTAATTATTCAAAAGGATAAAGTCTGCCCATTCGGTGAAACCTCCCATCACTGAAATCTCTCACCTGGGAGCCTGGGAGGGAATCAGATGAGACCAAGAACAGATTCTGCATGAGCTTGGTCATTCTGTGCGACTGAGGGAGCGTGGTCTTCGAGGTGGGGAGCACTCCTTTCAAGCTGATGGGGAGAAATAAGTCATGAGCCTTGCTCCCAGGTGACCTGCCCTGTACTGTGCCAGTGAGTTCCAGGCTGAGAGAGGCGTTCGGATTCCGGGGGCGGAGGTGGGGGCGAGGGGCTTTCTTGGAATGGCTCAGCCAACTCAGGAGAGGGCTTAGAGCATTGCAGGCCGCAGTTAAGTAATTGGACAACTGACACTTTTCCAGAGAGGCATGGGGCTTAGGAGCTGTCCCCGAGGCTCACCCTGTCCTCTTTGGGAACTGCACTTAAGTCACGACTGACACATAAGAATGCTGTGTGTGCCAAGGGCAGGCTCGGTAACACTGTCTGCCACTCCCAGCGGCACTCTTGTGCCAGCATTCAGGGGCCTGAGTATGCTGCATAGCATGTCCCCAGGCCAGTCACCTCGGAGCTTTTCCTCAGTGCTGTCATGTGTAAGAGTGGGGCCTCCTGGTGAGCTGCCGCCTCGTCCTGAAAGGTCCTGCCATTTGGAGGCACCATCTTGCAGAGGGACAAGTTCCCCAGAGCTATGGAGTCTTTCTGGACAATTCTTGGGCTGATCAGAATTTTATTTTAGTAGGACTGCTGCCAAAAGATCGTAAATTATAAACCTGTAAGCCAGAGTTTGCCATTAGCTTGCCTGAGTTTTAATTTGTTTAGGTCATCTCCCCAAGCAAAAAAATAAAATAAAATTGTTAAGTAATCCTATTTACGCTCTTGAAGGTTATAGAAGGAAGCAACTTGTATATTTGCTATTATTGCCCTCTTTTAAAATATTCCGATTATCTGATACTACAAACAGAATAGTGGAACCTGCTGTAACCAGCAGCCAAGGCCTTGGCCCTGCCATGCGTTTCAAGCTTTCCCCCCGCTTTTCCTTGTTTTAAGTAATAAGATGTTAAGCTACAGCTGACCGATGTTCCCTTCTATCCTTCCTGCCCCAGGCGTCACCACTGGTCCACATCGGTACTCCCCTTCCCACATCCTTTGCAGTTTGGGCAAGACTTCCAGACGCCTAGTCGTGGCGTTTAGGATCCTCTCCCCCTTCAGCGATCGCCGGCTGCTCCGAGTGAGCCAGTAGATTCCATGATGTGCCTGGAGCCCACTGTCCTCTGTGGTTAATGTGGAATGGCTCTTGCCACAGAAGCATTCCCTCACCACACCACTGACACAGAGGAATAGATAGCCGTCACCCTCCCCGTTGTTCTCCTCTGTCATCTGCTCCTTTGCCTCCTCCCTGCCTCACTTGCGTCCAGACGAGCACTCCTTGTGGAGGTGCTCCCTGCACAGGTGCTCGCCGCCGTGCATCCCAGAGAGACTCAGGCGCTCGTGTCTGCAGTCCCTTCTCCCGACTTCCCGGCCGTGGGAACGCCAGGGTGGCCGTCGTGCAGCCCTCCAGGCCCCCACTCTGTTCCTGGAGACACTGCCCAGAGCAGCCCATAGGGCATCCCGCTGGGCCTTGCAGGTCTTGGCCTCTGATGCTTCTTACTTGGCCCAAGTTGAGGGAGTGGGAATGAGGAGGTTTGTGTTTTGTTTAGTGATTTTCATCTGTGATCCTCTTTAGTTCTAGATAATCATATAATTATAGGTAATGATAGGTTTTAGTAATAAACATAATGTTTTAACAGGCTCAGTTCACTTTTTTCTTGTATGAAATTATGTGGTGGCCACAGCTGGAGCCTGGGTCCTCTGCACAGAAAGAAGCTCTGGTGTGGGTCTTTACAAGATGGCCAGTGAATTCCTGATGGGGAGACTTGGTGAACACGCTCTCTTTCCAGAGGTCGAGGGTAACGTAGCCGTAAGTCTTAGAAACGGCATCAAATGTGGCCTTGGTGAGGTTGCCCAGGGTGGCAGGTGCAGCCCCTGGCAGAGGCATAAGAAGCATAATTATTCTTTAAGATTTTCTTTTCTAATGGGCAAACATTTAATAAGCTCCACTCTCCACTAATTTAATCAGCTGTTATCGGGTACCTATTACGTGCTCATTCCTTGTTCTTGACATTGGGGATACAGGATAAAAACAGACAGCTTTAGGGCTCTGCTCTTATGAAGCTGACATTCTGGTAGATGGCGACAGCGATCAAGCCAATAAATGGGGATTATCAGTGGTAAGTAAAATGTGGAGAAGTAAGATGGATGATAGGGTGTGACTGGTGCTGGGTGACGACTTCTGGTGGGGTGGTCAGGGGCGACTTCGTGGACGTTTTCACTGGGCTCACAATGGTGAGAGGAGCAGGCATGTGAGGCTTAGGTAGGTGGAGGATTTCAGGCAGAGGGAGCGACAGCTGCAGAAGGCCCTGAGGCCTTTTACTGCATCTTCCCGCCTTAGCAAGTCAGTCAGAGCAGGCATCCTCGACGCCAGTGGATTCCAGAAACTGGGTCCTGCGTGGAGAGCCGCTCCCTGGGCTTTCGCTGTGCGTTATGGGAAGGCTCCGCAGAGCTGGTGTGCCGGGGTTGTCTGAGTTCGCGTCTGCTCCGTGGGCTGAAGGCTGTCCCTGTTTTTCCCAGCTCTACGTCTCCTCAGAAAGCCGCTTCAACACTTTGGCCGAGTTGGTTCATCATCACTCAACGGTGGCCGACGGGCTCATCACCACTCTCCATTACCCAGCCCCCAAGCGCAACAAGCCCACCGTCTACGGCGTGTCCCCCAACTACGACAAGTGGGAGATGGAGCGCACGGACATCACCATGAAGCACAAACTGGGCGGGGGCCAGTACGGGGAGGTGTACGAAGGCGTGTGGAAGAAATACAGCCTGACGGTGGCCGTGAAGACGCTGAAGGTAGGCCCGGGACTGCCCATTCGCCTCCAGGTAGAGCCGCCGCTGCTCACGGCGCCTCAGTCAAACGCGGTGCGTTGGCTGCTGGTGTGTGGTGGTGCACCTTTCCAGGTGGCCCGCCTCCTGCATACAGGTCCGGGGGGTGATCGGTGCCGAGGCGTTGACTCGTCAGTCTCGTCATCTGTGTTTTAGGTACGTGTTGAGTCATTTTTATAATCTCAGTGTGTTTCCACATATGGTGAGAGCCGAGCAGTGCTGTGGTTTATGGTGTAAAAAGATTAGTCATTTGGAGAAGTTTTTTCATTCTATGGCAAGTGTCTTTTAAAGCCGTGGGTTTCCGTTCTGTTTGTGTGGCATTTGGATCACTTCCTGTTGAGAGTTAAGAGAAGGGAAAAAAACCTCTTGCGTGTTAAAAGAAAGATTTAACCAGAATGCATTTGACTTTTCTGTGGATTTTTGTTGGCACATTTGGAAAGCAAGTGCTGTTTAGTTCCTGGCAGGTTCCTTCCTGTTCTCTGTACTGTGCGTCCAGACTTCTGGAGTTAAGGAAACGTTAAGGCTTCTTACTAACTCAGATGCCCCGCTTTTTTTCTTGTTATCTCTGACTTTCACTCTCTCAACGAAATGCATAGTGTTTGTGGTTTCCAGGCAGTTTGTTTTTCTTTTGAAGTTTTCTTTTGAAGTTCTTTGAAAGCTTTAGGACGCCAAGGAAGGAAGTTTTAATTTTGCAGCCTTCTTCAAAACGCGATCCACGCTTTGTGGCGAGAGTGTCCCCTAGTGTCGACCTGCGTTATTTTCACCTGAGAACTTCAACTGCGTTGACCTGCACAGAAATCGAGAATGAGCCCGTTTTTGTAACTATTAGGAAAGAAAAAGAACTGAAACACCCACTGGTGGGAAAAATGGACCCAACCGTGTTTATCTTCTCGAAAGTCAGCTGGGTGCATGCTTGGAGACCGGTGCAGCCAAATTGCTTTAGGGACTCTTTGTTTCCCTGATGCCTTCACTCAGAGGTGCAGTAAAAGGGAAAGTATGATTTCTGGCTGATACACAGTGACCCTTACGTGGAACGATCACATTCTTTAGTCCTAGAAACCAAAGTTGGCTTCTTGGCACTATATTAAATGTGTCCCCTGAGATCGGTCCTTGGGGCAGGGCTGACACGGGAGGGAGAGTGTGGTTTCGGGTCACCTCAAGAACTTTTAGATATTTTCCAGATAGGATTTTTTTAAAGATTAATGAGCATTTATCGAGTTCCTCACTTCTGTTTGCCAGACCCTGGCTTAGCACGGGAACTGTGAAAATGAGTGAGGCCGAGTCCCTCACTTCACGCTCATCTGGGTCGCTAGAGCGGTCTGGCTGGAGGCAGGCGGCCTGCTCAGCGGGAGACAGAGGCAAGTGCAACAGTAATAGCTGTGCAGTCTGATAAGGGCCACGCCAGGCGCGAGCCCGGCACTGTGTCACCTCACAGGACCCAAAGGAGGGACTGAGCTCTGCCTGACGGGGAGAGCGCATGAAGGGAATCCTGGGCCAGGGCTGTAGTGGGAGACCAGGAGTTGGCCAGGGGAGCAGAGAGGTGGAGGGCAAAGAGGGCACAAGTCACAGAGGGCTTGAACCCAGCCGAGGAGCTGGGGTGGTCCCCTGGAAGCAGTGGGGCCCACGGAAGGGTTTGGTGCATGCGAATAAGATGATAGTATTTGCATTTCACAAAGATGGCTATGTTGGCGAGCCATCTTTAGAAAGAACTGAACAGCCCTTGCCCTTCCTCTCACAGATGGGGGGAGCATAGGGAGAGGCATGTACTTGTGCTGCAGCATCTTGATTGGCACACGATCAAAGACCAGGCCCAGAGACACCAGGCCTTGACCAGCTCGAGAAACTGTTAAAGGCCTGGGCATCACCAGGCATTTGCCAGAATCTGCAGAAATGGAACGAGGAGGAGTAAAAGCGCAAAGTACACTAGATTTCAGCCCAGGCAGGGCTTGTTCAAAAGCTTTAAAAAGAGATTGAGTGTGTGCAATTTGAAATGTGGGGAAAACCGAGCCCAGTAGCCGATGCCGTGGCATTGTTCTCTGACCGCCTGAAGGAGGGGATTTCAGAGGCGGGACCTCCTGGAGCTCTGTGGTGGTGGTGGTGGTGGTTTTCTGTTACCAGTGAATCAGGATTATCTGGAAGTGGGTGCCTGTTAGAATGTACTTTTCTAATGATGTATGGTTCAACTTTTTATTATATACTGTTACTGATTCTCCCCAAGAGCCTTAGTAATGTGTGGTCCCAAAGTATAGGATCCGGTTGTGTGGAGTTCTGTGAGTCGTCACCCCAGCCGATTAGGGAAGGGGAATGCGTCATTGTCCAGAGGCACGTTAGCCCAGGATACGGTGCTGAGGCACTGTGAAGTGAATGCTCCCTCCTCTGCCCCGCCCAGCACAAAAAGCATCTCTGCAGCTTGTTTCTCACTCGTCCAATGAGATTATGTATTTGGGCATTTATCTCTACTACAGAAGTAGAGAACTTTGGCTTCTAAATGACAGGTAATAGCTACCATTGATTGAGCTCTTACTACGTGCCCGGCAGAGTTCTGAGTGCCTTTCATATAGCATCTCATTTCATCCTTACAGCAACCTTAAGAGAAGGGTCGTGATACTAGCGCTGTTTCACAGTTGAGAAAACCGAAGCAGAGGGAGGTTTGTAATTGGCCCGGCGTCACACCACTGGGAGTGGCAGGGCCAGGATTCAAACCGAGACATCCTGCTCCAAAGCCCTATTGTCGTTATTACTATTATTATTATTATTAGTCGCTCAGGTTCTCATTCCTCATATACCCTGCAAAATATACATAAACCACAGTTACGCATCTTAAAAATCACTCTTCCCCTCTCCCCCATTCACTTCCCTTAGAGGTGATAGCTCTGGTCTTCCTTCTTCTCCAGGACTCCTTGGAAAACCCTACCAGCTCTAGCCCAGGCTTTCGTTCGCTCAGCCGTTCTCATCCAGCACCTCACTGGGCACCTCACTGGGCACCTGTGTCTTGGTCTCTTCCCACCTCCCTGTCCTGCCTGTTCTGTGTTGCTGGCCCCTCAAGGGGCAGAGTCAGCTCTTCTTTAACCAGCAGGGGGAGCAAGGCCCTACTTTTAACCACGACTCCATACTGAACCACTAGGCAGTATTAGGTCCTATACCTTCTGAGCATAGAGACAGGACGGCAGGATGAGTACATGAAAAAAGGAGGCACAGGTCTGACCCCTATGGGTGGGAAACTGGGATTACAACCAAGGCCCATTGATGGGAAACTGCTAGTTTGCGTTTTGACAGTGGGTCATAGGCTTAGCTTTACCCCTGTACTAACTGTATTTAAGTCAGGATGAGCCTAAGAGAACCAACTGTCAAGAACGGGGAGCCCCAAGTTTCACATGCGCTGTATTCCAAAAGTTAGTTTGTAAGTGTTTTTTTTCCCCTATGAAACAGTTGTATAAGTAATAGAATTTAGAAAAGACTGCTGTTAGTCTAGTTGTGACATTAAGATTAAATCATAAGTGAACTGACAGATTTACCATTAAAATAATGGAAAATAATGTTATAAAATGTTGACTTAAAACTGTACCCAGTTCTTTACCTGGTTTTCAAATAGGTCATATATGCGCATAGTCTCCTCCACCCTTGATTCTTGTATCTTTCCAGAAATAGTCCACATGCGCATTATTTTTAACTACATGGCAGCATGCTGTAGACACTGCTCTGTACCTTTTATGTCCACTTAATGCGTCGTGACCGTTGATCCTTGTCAGCGCACACAAGGTCGTCTTGTCCTTGTGTGGATATACTTCAGCGTGTACCAGCCCTCAGTGGCCATTTGTGTTCTCTCCAACACCTGGCTGTTCGGAACAGTCCCCAGGGAGTCCTTATTTGCTCATACGGGAGAGACTCCTGGCGGGTCAGCTCCTCAGAGTTGAACTGCCGGATTGAGGACCACGTGCGTTTCCGTTCTGATCACACTCTCAGCTGCCGCCCAGGGCACTCCTGCCTCTTTACACTCTACCGCCAGTGCAAGGGTGGCGTGCCTGTGTGCCGCACCCTCACCAACACAGGGCGTTTTGGCTGGGGGTTTAGTTTTGTTATTTTCCCCCCAAAGAGATCGGTTTTATTGGAGAGCTCCAGAAATGAGCAGAGAGGGAAGGGTTCTGTGACAGCATTCGCACGGGGCAGTCCCGCACAGTGCTCTCTGGCTTCCCCAGAGGGCTGTGCACTGGGGAGAGAGGCCGCTGTCGCCTTGTGACCCCTGCTCTCGCACTGGGTTCTCTGCTGGCTGCAGAGCCAGGTACAGGTGCGGTATTGGGGGATCAGCGTTCTGGGGCTTCCTCTGGGAGGTGCTTTCTTGTGGACTTTCTGCTTGAGCTTCCAGTGTCATACCTGGTTTGTGAACCGCCTTCCTCTGTCGAGCTCAGAAACTCTGCCCCATCTCTCCTGTGTGATTTTAAACATGTTGGCCTTGGTCCACCCGGAGTGAAGGACGGTACTTCACTGATTGTAACGTCGTTCAGCTAACATTTGGGTAAGAATCAGAAGCGTGTGGAAACTGATCTCTGTCCAACAGGAGCCCTGCCCCAAGCCCAGGGGGCTCCTTGCTGAGAGGGAGCAGAGAGAGCACTAAAAGCTGTACAGCAGCAGCAGGAGGCGGAGCCATCTTTAAAAACAGTGTTCTTTTTTATGCTGTAGGATACTTACTGTTGAAGGTGAGACCAGGGAGCAAACAGGATGAAGCTGGTTAGAACATACCTGTGAGATGTTGAGTCCAGGAGAATGTATCTGTGAGAAAGACAAAAAACTGTGTTAAAGAACCTGCTTGTCTTTCATACAAGCTATATGTTTAGTCTGCTTCTCAGAAATCGAGATCAGCCGTCTTAAATAATAGTGAGTTCCACTGGTGGGCTGCTGGCCAGGGGCTGGGCACTGTACTTGGCACTGGGGCAGATACTGCTGTCTTTTCCACCTGTATAAATGAAGAAACAATTTCAGAGATCACTGCTGTGTTACCTGTTCCATAAGTAACACCTGGCTACACAGTGGCAGGGCTTGGTCAGTATTAACAAGCCGCCTTTTAACCTCTTCCCTGGACCAGCCCAAACCTTCATCTGCATCTGGGCCAAGCCCATCAGTCCTTGTGGAGAGAGGCCAGTTGACCCATCTCCATCCCAAACAGACAAGGCTGAAATTCACAGTTTTTACTCAAAGTGTTGCCCTCACCCCAATTAACCTGAGTTAGTTTTATTTTACTATGTAAAGGAAGAATTCTCTTCAAAAACATGGTGGAAAGTTTTTTAATGAAAGTAAAGAAATTTAACAGAATAACATTGGGGATATTTCCACTTGAACCCAACTATAAATGTAGTATGCTGTTAGTTCAGACTGTGAGTTGAGCCCAGTCTGATTCCAGCAGGGGGAGACACGTTCCCACTGATTGTCCTGAAGGAAAAAAACAAGGGTTTATTTATACTGTCCGCGCGCGTGCGCGTGTGTGTGTATGAATGAATGAATGAATGAATGAATGAATGAAAAGAGAAAGACAAAAAGAAGAAGGATGCCTTGGAGAGCTGTATTGTTCTTTCTGCATGTCCAAGACTCTTAAGACCGAGAACATGGTTCTTTTAGAAAAGAGTCAGCAGCTGTAAGACAAATGGTGTTTCTGAAATGACTTCCCTGTTCACGGTTTATCGTATGGTGCTTTAAAATCGAAAAACTCCACTTGTCTGGAAAGCTTCATGTGAGAGCTACTTTTTGAATGTGTTGCTGGCCAGGCAAGATTCTTAAAGCCCCTGGTCCTCAGTGGGCAGCACTGACACCCCCATCCTGGCAGGCGTTCCCACTCCAGCCTTTGACATTAGTGTGTCACCCTGGCAAATCAGAGCACTTCACGCCCCAAACGGCATGGTCGGCTGAGCACGTGACAGAGTGGAGAGGACTCTAAAGAATCAAGGAGCCCGCCCGTGGGGTGGCAGCTGGGGTGCGTCCTCTTCCCCCACACAGCCTGGCACAGAGACTACCAGTGACGTTTAATTGACATTAAGAGCAGCTCGCCATTTTTAAAGAGCAATAACTTTCTAAATTTCAGTCTCACAGAGCCGCACGCAAAGTGATAATGGCCTGACACGTAACTCACTGGTCACGCTCCGCTTGTAAATGTGATTGACCGAAGCAAGAAAGCGCTAAGCAGAGATGGGCCTGTCCTCTGGACGTCTGCCTTAGGTTCGGGGGCTAGGAACGGGGGTGGGGTGGTCACAGTGAATGCTACGGTAAGGACACTTTAGACCTTTGTCCCCGAAGGGGCAGGTGCAGTGTATAAGGTTCCACATTTAAGGTAAACTTGATGAGGTTTTCCTTTTGGGGGATCTAGTTCTCAGGAAGGTCATTCCCTGTCTCCCATGCAGTCTTTCTCTTCAGACAAACTCAAAATCCATGTTGAAATTGGGAGGGTGGTATCTCGCTTCCCTCGTTGGTCTTTATAGCCAGGTTCTCGCAGCGAACAGACCATGCCATTTACCACCACCTGCTTCCCATTTTGATGGTCAGTTCAGAGGACAGTGGGTTCTTTAAGTCACAGAGAGGCTCACCTGACGTAAGCCGCAGCCCGGTTCTCGTGTAACAGGGCCTCATTACTGCGCCACGGCCCGCGGACTGGAGCCGAGTCCGAAAATACATGAGGAAATGTAGAAATATCACCACGTTTGCCAACATCTTTGTCTCTCCTCAGCATCCAGACACTGAACTTGCTGCCGATGATGCTTGTGGCTCTCGTTAGGGAAGCTGCTAGCGAAGATGATTTTAGAAATGGAGTAGCTGACCTGACAGATAATGGTGACGGCTTCACTAAGAACCCCATGACACCCCATTCTTAAGCAGTCCCACGTCCTCTGTTTCTGCCGTGTTTCGAGGTGTCGTTCTTTGATACTACAGTATCTGTTTGTGTCATCAGAGTCTCTTCTCTTAAATCGAGTACATTTCAGCTTCTTCCAGTGATGTTTTGTGTGTGCATTAGGCATTTTAAGACCCCTTGCAAGCCAGCTGTCCTTTAGGGAACTAACGCCATGTTTGTGGTGTTTGCCTGCACACACCTCCCCCCCACCCGCAAGCTCCACACAGTGATGGAAACAGGTACAGTCCGCGGAGCCGCCACCAGAAGCAGGTCACCAACGTGTACAAACCAACTTTGATGTATTTCCCTGGGCGAGAATTCAAAAGTTCAGCACCAAAGAGGCAATTTGTCGTGCCCTTGAGACGGTGATCGGCTGCCTCAGAACCTGTGCAGAGCAATGCGCTGGCCGAACCTGGTGGGCCAGGAAGCTTGTTTGCCAAAGCTCCAGTTCATGTCAACCACCCCATCATACCTTCCCACACACACATCCCTTGCTGAAATAATTTCACCACTTTTTTTTTTCTGCAGGAGGACACCATGGAGGTGGAGGAGTTCTTGAAAGAAGCTGCCGTGATGAAAGAGATCAAGCACCCTAACCTAGTACAGTTACTCGGTGAGTGTGGAGCGCAGAAGGGAGGGCCTTTGACTGGAACCCTCAGGGCGATGCAGGTGCTGTCGGAGAGGAGACGAATGGCTCGCTACGCTTAGATCTCTGATTTGGACATCTGTTCTCTACCAGCATTCAGCCCTCTGTTAAAGGAGGCCTGTGTAAGATCGTGTGCGAGCGTGCGTGCGTGTGTATGAGAGAGAACTTCATTTCTTTAAATTGATACCTAAAGCAATGAAACGCAAATCGCAGGTTGGCTTCTGAAACTTAATTTTTAAGAGTTCTTTCACTAAAGAGATTCTATAAGAAGACATAACCATTAGACATAACCATTTAGGGGTAAACCAACAGCAGTTCAGGCCATTCGCTGTGCTCCTGGACTTTGCTTCTAAACTCAGTGGCAGCCGCTTCCTGTTTAAGGTCGTTGGCTTAAGAGGAAGAAAAGACCGTGGCCATGTCCCTCCCACAGAGACATAGTCTCAAGTCACAAGTGCTTGGAACCTTCTTTAGAAGTGGGGCCCAGACTAGCACCGAGTCAGACTCCATTTCAGAAGCCTGACCCCTTCAGTGCCAGTCCCTTTTGATGTTTGTTCAGTCGGGGGTAGAGCAGCACCCCGAAGCCCTCAATGTCTTGTTGGCAGGGGTCTGCACCCGGGAGCCCCCGTTCTATATAATCACTGAGTTCATGACCTATGGCAACCTGTTGGATTACCTGAGAGAGTGTAACCGGCAGGAGGTGAATGCTGTGGTGCTGCTGTACATGGCCACTCAGATCTCGTCAGCCATGGAGTACCTGGAGAAGAAAAACTTCATCCACAGGTAGGAGCCTGGTGACACAGCCCTCCCCACCGAGCCACGGAGTGAGCATGGGGCCTGCGCATCCTTCTATGAAAGCCCCGGCCTCTGAGGTCTTGCGGCTCAGCCTCCAGCTTTAGTGCTGGCAACTTACTAGACCTTGGAACAAAGGCGGACGCTGGGTTCCTGACCTTGGCAGCTTAGGGTGTACATCTAGGGCCAGATTCAGCCAGGCCCGGACTCTGGACCAACAGAGCGGTTTAATCCCTGGGGCAAGAAATGTTTCACTTCGGAACCGTTTTGGATGAAGTGGAACATTAAATGATTCATAAAAGGCCTCCTTCCTGATAGCCACAGCTCCCCTGAAGTAGCACACTCATTGTTCCTCTAAGCCCGGCATGCGTCGTGAGACCTCTTCCTGGGAGCAGTTGGTGTCGCTTTTACATAAACGTGTGGTAACAGCCAGGGTCCGGGTTTTGCATTTGCATTGCGTGTTTTTTCCCTCCCTTCTCTTTATTATCATTTCATTCTCCACTTAACTTGCTGTCATCTGGTTCAGCGATGTTTCCACAATTGTCAGAATTGCGTGTGTGTGGTTCTAAATTAAGCGTCTTTGCTGCTGTAAAGCCTGGAGCGTTTTGACCTTCAGGTGTGCCACAATTATTTTGGTCTTCGCATTCTTTGCTGGTGGAAATGGCTTCCTCGCAAAGTGACAGCCTATGCGAGGCAGAATCTAATGGGCTTTGCCAGAGTCTTTTATACATGATGTTCTCCACGCCACCGTTGTGACCTTTCCTGCCCAATTAACTCAAGTATGAAACCTGTACACAAGCGTTCGTAGTGAGGACCGGGGGTAGCGTGTGTGAAATGCTGGCGGTTCCTTGTAAGACAGATGTTCTGTGCTCCATGAGGGCCTGATCAGATGCTCCTGTCACTCAAGAAAGTGAACCCTCTGAGGCTATAAATTGAGATTTCTTGACTTCTGGTTTGCCTTGCCCAGCTAGGTCCGTTCCCTCTTTATGTGGGCAAACTTGAAATGCTTTATCAAAATCCCGTTAGGCACAACTCTTCTGTATTTAGTTTCTCTCTGATTGCCGGTGATCACGCTGTCTTATGCAGCCATCACCTTAGCTGCTACCGCCTCTCATCCCTCCATTTCAGTTTGCCTTGTGATTTCATGGTCCACATCCATGAACCAAGGATTAGATTCCCGACAGGGAATCAGTAGGCGAGAGGAAGCTAATTATACAGGAGAGAATTTTTAGGATACGTTTGGATAGGCATCAGGAAGAAAGAGGAAAGCAGGAAACACAATTTGGGTAAAGAATGCTGTGGGCTCGTCACCAGGTCTGGCTAGGACAGGCAGAGACTCTGATGTCAGTGGCTCACGGCCAAGGACTGACCTGTACGTTCATTCCTGGCGCAGAGCAGCACTAACCACACACTTAGATGACACTTACTATTCTCCAGGCGTCGGTTGAAGCACTTCACATATTAATTAATTACCACTCACAACAACCCTAAGAAGTAGATGTTATCATCTTCATTTTACGGATGAGGTGGCTGAGGCCCGGGTAATTAATTAACTTGCTTCAGGTCACAGGGCCAGGGAGCCCGCTCCCAGCGCCACCCTCTCACCAGGTGGGTGGCGAGGGACGGCGTTGCTCCCTGGTGAGGAATTAATGTGTTTCCAGGGAGCCCGACTCCCTTTTCCCATTGTCTGTGTTGCCCCTTTCCTGGAGGGCGGGGGGATTTGTGAAGCTGGACAGCTGGACAGCGAGCCAGGATGTCTCATGGACGAACTTGTTCCTTTCCCAGAGATCTTGCTGCCCGAAACTGCCTGGTAGGGGAAAACCACTTGGTGAAGGTGGCTGATTTCGGCCTGAGCAGGTTAATGACAGGAGATACCTACACGGCCCATGCCGGGGCCAAGTTCCCGATCAAGTGGACCGCGCCCGAAAGCCTGGCCTACAACAAGTTCTCCATCAAGTCTGACGTCTGGGGTAAGCGCTGCCGCTCCATCCTGAGGTCGCCCGTCCCGGCCGGGGCTCCTTTTCCTGTTCGTCCTCCCTGCTCTTCCGCTGCCTCTTTCTCGCTCTCTCGTTTCTTTTATTTTTCATTACTTGATTCTCTTTTTGGTTTTTTTTTGTTTGTTTAAAAGTCTTTCTTCTCTGTTTTATCTCCAAAGTGAAGTAAAAGTGAGCTTTTTCTTCTGAAGTAATCAGAGTAACTTTTTTTTTCCTTGCCATTTTCGTCTCCATTCTAAATTTGCGGCTTGAATTTGTAGGGTTCCTCTGTGCACGGAACGCTGTGTGGTTTGGTTTGGGCTTTAAATAGGATACTGCCCCCTGAAGCCTCGTGTGACCATTTTTTCTTTCTTTTTAAAGAACTTTTTATTATGGCCGATTGTGAATGCACACTAAAGAAGACAGAGCTGCCTGACCCGAGCCCTGTGTACCCGTCACCCGCTTTACTAATTTGGCCCCTCCCCGTGCTCTCCTGTCCTCTGTGCCCCGCCCACCCACCTGATCCTTATTTTCAAACACGTCTCAAATATCATATTGTCCACAAATATTTCTTAAATGAGTCTCCAAAAGATGGTTTTTTTATTCTTATAACCACGTCGTTCCTCCAAAAATTGACAGTGATTTCTGAATATTATCAAATATCCAGTTAGTGTTCACATTTCCAGTTGAATCGGAAAAGTCGTATTTTTATTTTATGATCTGTTTGAATTGAGATCCAGTGGTTCACACAGTGTGATTAATTGATATGTCCCTTAAGACTGATCTGTAAGTTCTCTCCGACTCTTTATTTCCCTCGCTATTTATTTGTCTAAGAAACCCTGTCACTTGTCCTTTAAATTTTCCCACATTCTGGATTTTGCTCATTGTATCCCTGTGGTGTGATTTAATATGTTTCTCTCTCTTCAGTATTCCTGGTAAATGGATAGTTGGATCTAGACAGCTTGATCATATTCAGGTTTGACTTTTTTTTTTCTTTTAGTTAAGAGTTCTTCTTAGGCAGTGGTGTGCTTTTTCATCAATAGGTACATAATACTTGGTTTTCTCTCTTTTTCATGATTTTAGCAGTTATTGATACCCAGCACCTAGATCCACTATTTTATTAGGGGTTGCCAACTGGTAGTTCTCTAATTTTGTCCTTTTTTATTTTTCAATTAGCTCAGTACTTCTGTAAGAAGAAGCTTTCCTTCATCTGCTATTTGGTTACTTGGTATAGTTAATACAGGAAAGGCAGGATAAATGTTTGCTTTCTTGCCATTGTTTACCAGTTTTCACAATAATGAGTTGGTTTCTTAATAAGCTTACAATGGTGACCAAATAGGTTTTTGTTGGACTTTTTTTGTGTGTGATATTATTATGAATTCTCATATATATAACATGTTTAAATATATTCGATGTGTTTTAATCCACGGCAGTTATTTTCCTTATTGGTATTCAAATTGTCTCATCTTTGGCCAGTGGCAACTTCAAATTGCTCCTGGTCCTTTTGATGAGACCCTCATAGTCTTTGATAGCATCTGTGCCATCTGGAATGATAACATACTCTGGCGTCATTCCCTGCCGTAGACCTGAACCACCCACTTCTCCAAGGGCCTTGCTTAGTTGAACGGGATCTGGAGTTTCAAGGCTGTACTCTGGGCCTTCAAAGTGTTATAAGATTTCATAAGATTTTTATGAAATTTTTAGAGTTGGGAGGGGCCTTGGTGATAATCTCATATACCCGACAGGGAGAGGTGGCATGTCTTGGGCACATAGCTAGTTGATCACAGAGCTGGGAGTGGAAATGGCCTCCTGACTTCCAGCTGTAGATTCTCCACCACGGGTGTCAGCAAGAGGGTCATGTTCCCTCAGAGACCCTGGAGGGGTTGCTCAGCCAGTCCTCTTCTCTCCTTCAGCGTGTTCTCGTCTGGGGGGTGAGTAAACTGTCTGGGCTGTTGGTAGTTAAGAACCTGGTGAAATGTCAGTGCCTGGCCTGCTTCTGAGGGTGTAACTTCTCATGTCTGCTGCACAGGTAACCAGTTGTAAATGCAGTATACTGAACACGTTTTCAATCACCTTTCTCTTTCTTCTAGCTTTTGGAGTATTGCTTTGGGAAATCGCTACCTATGGCATGTCACCTTACCCGGGAATTGACCTGTCGCAGGTGTATGAGCTGCTGGAGAAAGACTATCGCATGGAGCGCCCGGAAGGCTGCCCAGAGAAGGTCTACGAACTCATGCGAGCATGTGAGCCTTCCCCTGCGCGTTCTAAAAATTCTGTGTGGGCTTTTAGGACATGCCGTGCAGGGGTGCGTACGCAAAGTAAAAAATTAGTGTTCCATTTCCTCTCTTCATTCCCAGTCTTCAGAGCAACGAATGGAACAGCTTGCAGGCTTTTTTTCAGTGTTTCTGTATATCTCATTTGTACATAGTATTTATGTGTGAGGGTGTTTTGTTTGTTTTTTTAATGCAAAATTGGGATTGAGGGATACCAAACTTGGATTTCTTATTAATAAATATAGATTCCTGGACCTGCCTTTAAACCTGCTGTGACAGGTACGTGCTCCAAGGGACATTTATCTAGTTGGTTTTATTATATATATAATCATTCCCACAACTTTTTTTGCACTGAGCGGTGGACAGGCCTGTCTTTCCACGTCCATGATCCCAAGATATCTCTCTGCCCTTCTCCTCTTATTTTTGCCTAGCTGTTTAGCATTCTGTTAAGTGGATCGTTCATTCTTCCAGTCCTCTTTTGATGAACACTTGGCTGTCTTACACATTTATATTTGGGTTTTGCCGTTGTAAACAAGGCAGGAGTGGGCACCCTCTCCATACGCCTCTGCGCACTGTGCCGGTATTGCTAAAAGTTGAGCTGTTGGCTCAAAGGGCTATGTACATCTTAAATTTTGATAGGTTTTGCCAAATTGTTTTCCAAAAAAGGTTGTACCAATTTGTACTCCCACCAGAAGTGTATGTGAGTGACTCTGTATCCTCACCGACACTGGGTCTGGTCAGTTCTTAATCCTCATTGTAATCTTGTTTTGATTAGCATTTCCTGACTGCTGAGGATTTTGGACTTTGATAACCACAAAGTAAGGGTAAGGGAGGCGGTGCTATTTGGCATAGTAATTTCCTGTACTTGCTAGAATTGGGTTGGGAAAATGTATTTGTAAATGCAGTCTGGCTGTCAACGTCTCTCTGGAGTTTTACAATCCATATTGCTGCCGATATCTAAAGTCTTTTCAGATTCTTAATGTTTGTAATAAGGCACAATGGCATTATCATTTTTACTTGTCACAACAAAAGATGAGTAGCAGGAGTGGGAATGCTCCTTTGGTTTCTAGACTTTTCCATGAGAATTGCTAGCCCCACGCTGTCAGCAAGGCCTCGTGGGTGGTCTGACTTGGGTGTCGTCTGTCCAGGTTGGCAGTGGAATCCCTCTGACCGGCCATCCTTTGCTGAAATCCACCAAGCCTTTGAAACAATGTTCCAGGAGTCCAGCATATCAGATGGTAAAGTGGCCTGGCCGTCTGTCCGCGGGATGCCTGCAGTGGGCTGAAAGGTTTGGGGTAGGAGGGACAACTGTGGGACTCCAACTCTGGGCCTTTAGTTCACTTCCGGGTAGAAGTGCACAAGCCAACAAGTTCTCTGAGACCAGAAGGCTGGGCAGAGGCGTCGAGTGTGGAGCTCTGTCTCTTGTAGCCCTGCGGAATTCTGAAAAGGACTAAGTGCTGCGTTTTCAGCATTTATACCTCTTTTCCGTAACTGTGTAGGTGACAGCTGTTATTTTAAAAAGAAAAAGGCAACATACCAAAACGATACCATTACTAATGGCTGCTGGTTTTTGTGTTTTGTTTTTGTTTTCGCCTTTTTTTGGTGGTTCTTAGAAGTGGAAAAGGAGCTGGGGAAAAAAGGCATGCGAGGGGTGGCAAGTACTTTGCTGCAGGCCCCAGAGCTGCCCACCAAGACAAGAACCTCCAGGAGAGCTGCAGAACACAAAGACTCCACCGATGTGCCTGAGACACCCCACTCCAAGGCCCCAGGAGAGCCTGGTATGTCCCGACCCCTCCCCCACCGCAGGCCCAGGGCAGTCGACGCCCTCGGGGCCAGTGTGGCAGCTGGGAAGCAGTGAGGGGCGCCTGCACAGAAGGGCAGGCACAGCCCGCGTAGGTGGTCCAGTGGTGGGAAGAGGGTTCTCCTCTCCTTGCAGCATCCCACCCCTCCCTCTGGGCATCATTAGGAGCGAGTAGCTTTGGCAGTTAGTTCAGTCAAATAGGCAGAGATGCTTAGGAAACCTGTGGAAAAGGAACCCGCCTTTTCATGTATTATTCACAATACTGGTGGTTCTTGCAAGGCAGATACAGCAATAATAAATATCGAACCAGACGACGAGCAGCTTGTCGTAAAAGCAGTGATATGAAAGGCTCACTGGGACTGACGGAACCAGGAGACACCTGTGGCACAGAGCTATGTCCTCTCTGGTCCCTGAGTAGAGCAAGGGAGAATGGGAGTGGTTCAGGAGGGGTCTCAGGATATTGTCAGGAGTCATATTAGCAGACATTGATCTAGTGCTTCCTGTGTGCCAGGCTGTCTTCGGGGTTAGGCTGCTCTTGTGGAGCAGTTGTTCCCTGTCCCACAAAACCCCAGAAGTCTGGATTCCACTGCAGACCAACTAAAGAGGGCCAGCCTCCAGTTTGCAGAGGCTCCTAGGGGAGGCTCTGATAGACCACAGACTGAGTGGGAAGGAACAGACAAAGCAAGCGTTCAAGGATGTTTAACCATAGCAGAATCTACAGAGCCATGATTCCCCAATTTTTTATCATATACCCATATTAATTTAAAAAAAAATTGAACATGCAGCCTATACATACATATATATGTAAAGTATATACATGTATTACTGCATGCAGTTATTAAGTATAACATAAAATATACCAAAAATATACACTTAAAAGGTTTACATAAGAAACATATTCATATTTTAATGCTTTATTTCCACACTTCCATGGATCATCTTGTTCACCGCGCTTTGGAGGCCATGGCATGTAAACGGTCCAGAACCTTGGACCCTTTGTTCTTCTGTTCGTTGATGTGATTTCAGGTAGTTGAGCACTGGGAAGCAGGAGAAGCTGCTGTGGAAGTTGGGGCTTAGGCAAAGGACAGTGATGAGCAATCGTGTTCGTATGCCTGTCCGTGTTCACCTGAGGGGGCTTTGATACGTAATCTCGTGGCAAGCCAGGAGTGTCATTTAGCTGTGCAGCACTGAAATAGAGTTAGACGCATAATTCGTTAGAATTTTACCTTCTTCGCTTTCTTCCTCTGGCGTAAAGTTTTGGCTTTCTCTGAGTCAGATGTCCTGCATGCTGCCTGATGTTCTCGTGAATGTCCTTTGTACCTCTGCTCTGAGTTACACGTGTGACAGAAAACGTCTCTTCTTACAGCTGCCCCCTGAGGGAGAAGTCTGTCATTCAGTATTGGGAACTTGGCAACACCAGAAAGTTTTCTTAGGAGCTATTATTCATATTTAAAGACTGCCCATTTAAAAAATTTAAAAGGTTACCCCTTCTCGTTTCTCAAGCGTAATAGCCCTTCGTCACCATGGGATGCGTCTCGTTCCCTCCAGGTCACACGTCGCTGGTCTGAGAGGCACAGGTTCTGACCCTTTGCTCGGTCTTGTCATGGTTTCTACTCACCAGATAGTGGGGGGACTCCGCTGATTGAAAGGAAACCAGTACAGGGATGAGGAGGCCAGGGACAATCCAGCTCCTTCTTGCATTGTCTTCAAGGAGAGAGACCTAAGCTTTTCCTAATGAGAATACTAACAGTGACAACAGCTCCCGAGAAATTTCATTCTCAGAGCTCTGACAGATGCTCCGTGTTCGTTACTGTGTTGCAGTCCCCCAGCAGTGCTTTGGATTGGTTTTATTATCCTGCGTTTTGTAGATGAGCAAGCTGAGGATGGGAGAAAGGAGTACCTTGCCCAGGCCTCGTGGCCGTGAGCGGCAGAGCTGGTAGTCACACCAGCTTTCAGAGTCCAGAGCCCAGGCCTGTGGCCGCACCACTGTAGGGAGCGGGCGGCCAGCCCAAGGTTTCTTACGCACTCAAGAGCCTTTAGTCTGGACTTGTTAAGCTTTTCTCACTGTGTTTCAGATCCTCTGGACCACGAGCCTGCTGTCTCTCCATTGCTCCCTCGAAAAGAGCGCAGTCCCCAAGATGGTGGCCTCAATGAAGATGAACGCCTTCTCCCCAAAGACAAAAAGACCAACTTGTTTAGCGCCTTGATCAAGAAGAAGAAGAAAACGGCCCCAACCCCTCCCAAACGCAGCAGCTCCTTCCGGGAGATGGACGGCCAGCCCGAACGCAAGGGGGCCAGTGAGGACGAGGCCCGCGAAATCAACGGGGCGTTAGCGCTCCCAGCCCCGGACATGGCCGAGCCGCTCAAGTCCCCAAAGCCCAGCATTGGGGCTGGTGTCCCCAATGGAGCCTTCCGGGAGTCAGGGGGCGCAGGCTTCCGGTCTCCCCACCTGTGGAAAAAGTCCATCACACTGACCAGCAGCCGATTAGCAGCCAGTGAAGAGGAGAGTGGCATCAGCTCCAGCAAACGGTTCTTGAGATCCTGCTCTGCCTCCTGCGTGCCCCACGGGGCCAAGGACACAGAGTGGAAGTCGGTCACACTGCCGCGGGACCTGCAGTCCACGGGAAGACAGTTCGACTCGTCCACTTTCGGAGGGCACAAAAGTGAGAAGCCAGCTCTGCCTCGAAAGCGAGCAAGTGAGAACAGACCTGACCAGGTGACCAGAGGCACAGTGACGCCCCCGCCCAGGTTGGTGAAAAAGACGGAGGAAGCGGCCGACGACGTCTTCAGAGATGCGGCAGAGGCTAGCCCGGGCTCCAGCCCGCCCAGTCTGACGCCAAAACTCCTGCGCAGGCAGGCTGTGCTGGCTCCTTCCTCTGGTGTCCCCCACAAGGAAGAGGCCGGGAAGTCCAGTGCCTTGGGGACACCTGCTGCAGCCGAGCCGGTGCCCCTCACCAGCAGAGCGGGGCCAGGCGCATCTGGAGGGGCCGGCAAGGCTCCTGCCGAGGAGTCCAGAGTGAGGAGGCACAAGCCGTCCTCCGAGTCCCCAGGGAGAGACAAGGGGAAGTTGTCCAAGCTCAAACCTGCCCCACCGCCCCCACCCCCCGCCTCTGTCGGCAAAGCGGGGAAGTCCTCTCAGAGCCCGGGCCAGGAGGCAGCCGGGGAGGCCGGCGCCAGCGGGAAGGCGAAACTCCCAGCTCTGGTTGTGGACGCTGTGAACAGTGACGCTGCCAAACCCAGCCAGCTGGGAGAGGGTGGCAAAAAGCCCACGCTCCCGGCCATGCCAAAGCCGCAGTCATCCACCAAGCCGGTGGGGACCCCGACCAGCCCCGCCCCCACTGCCTCCACTTTGCCGTCAGCATCCTCCGCCCTGGCGGGGGACCAGCCATCCTCCACTGCCTTCATCCCTCTCATATCGACCCGCGTGTCTCTTCGGAAAACCCGCCAACCTCCCGAGCGAATCGCCAGTGGCACCATCACCAAGGGAGTGGTTCTGGACAGCACCGAGGCCCTGTGCCTGGCCATCTCCAGGAACTCCGAGCAGATGGCCAGCCATAGCGCCGTACTAGAAGCCGGCAAAAACCTCTACACGTTCTGCGTGAGCTACGTGGACTCCATTCAGCAAATGAGGAACAAATTCGCCTTCCGCGAGGCCATCAACAAACTGGAGAATAATCTCCGGGAGCTTCAGATCTGCCCGGCAACAGCTGGCAGTGGCCCGGCAGCCACTCAGGACTTCAGCAAACTCCTCAGCTCCGTGAAGGAGATCAGCGACATTGTACAGAGGTAGCAGGAGCCAGGCGTCAGGCCAGCTGGAGCCGCCTGCGGTGTGTGAGGGCTCCCCCTGTGCCCGAGGAGGTGGCCGACACGAGACCAGTGAGCAGGGACCGTGGCCCGGCAGCTGCGGGCCACCGTGGAGCACAGCCCTACTCCCTGTGCGGGGCACCAGCTGTCCTGCACTTTCCTCTCCTCAGCCTGGGCTTCCGGCGCCGTCTCCATCCTGAGTGCTGTCTGTGGAGTCCGCTCGGCGGGCCGCGGTCGGCACGCTGGCCCCCTGCCTGGAGCACCTCCAGACCGCTCCTCGGGCCGCCGGGAAGGCAGGCGAGCATTCCTTCCTGGCTCTCTTTCTGGAGGCTTCCTTCTTGCTGTGTCTTCTCCATCTCCCCCAAGAATGAGTGCCCTGGACGGGAGCTATGTCACCCAAGGCCCCGGGAACTGTCCCCTCATCCTCCTCGTGCCTCCTGGGCTTAAGATGCGTTCTCCAGAACAGTGTCCTGGGAGGCCGTGCCAGCCAGTCACTGCCCTCCACTGCCGCCGGTCCCGGCGCCCTCACCATTTCCGCGTGCAAAGGACAGCTCTTGATTTGGGGGTGAAACAGGGTGCTAATACCAGTCAGCATTTGGGTCCCAGGACAGGTGGGGAATCTGAAGAGGCCGTGGTATGGGGGAGTGTCCTGCCATCCGTTCTCTGCGTGTCCTCAGAGCCCAGCTCCTTGCTCCCCTGTGACATGCACTGCTGATCCTGGATGAAAACTTGAGTCTCAAGGGTTAGCAGGGTCGCTGTCCAGCATGCTGGGGTAGGAGAGGTGGGAGAGGGGGCTTGTTGGGTGAACAGCTGGTACCCAGCTGGCATGGGGCTGGGCCTGCGCGGGTCTGCCCTGGACCCAGGGTTCCTTTCCTTTCAGATTTCCAGGTGTCTTGAAAGGCACTCGGTCTTGATTTCTGCCCGATCTCTCCCTCCCTGTGCCTCTCTAAGACAAAGGAAGTTCTTGCAGGACACTCATTTGCGACAAGCCAGACTTCAGTTTTCTGAAGTCCTCGAAGCATTTCAGAGTTCTGCCTTCAGCACAGCCGCCTCCGATACAGGCGTCGGGCACCAGCACGCAAACAGGAGGAAAAGGATGGGGGCCCCAACGCCCCAATCAGTGTCAGCTGCACCCCATGGGCAAACATCTTACTTAATCGCCACGACCAGCACTTAGCCTGATGTTTGTGTCGGGGTCGTCAGGGATGAAGAAAACCACGAACAAGTGAAACCCTAGAAAGTGTCTCGAGGAGCAGGCCTTGACGTACTCTCCCCCAGCAGCCCGGGACCAGGCTCGCGGGGCAGGGCCCAGGTCTCCTTGACCTAGAGCAGCTACTGAAGTGGGCAGGCACCTGCCAGGGCCTTACTCCGGGCCCAGAAACAGCCCTTGGGGAAAAAAAAAAAAGAAAACCACATTTTGCTCCTCACGCCTTCTCACACCCGTGACCTTGCACAGGCCCTATTTTTACGCTAATCACCTAAACTTGTGTTTTATTTTTCTGGTAGAGACGGTTTCCTCTGGATTGTTGTATGCTGTTCTCACAGCGCATCACCTCTTTGCCCCCCCAGACTGCTGCGCCCCACAGCCTGAGGGAGGCGCTAGAACACCGCCAGCGGCCTTGAGACAAAGCAAACGAACCCACCCAGGTTCCTCGCCTCCTGTTCCGTGAGGTACTAGTCTCCACGTGACGTGCCACTATATTTTGCATTTATACCTTGGTATCACACTCTCGTAGACTTGCTCTTTTATAAATGACGTGTAAATAGTTTTCCACTATCCTTTCTTCTCGAATGCCTATGGTGTCTTTTTGTTGTTGTTGTTCCAATACATTTTATTTCTGTACATGACTGTGTTTTTTGAATCCACATCTCTCCTCCGTAGTATTTTTTAAATAAATGTTTACAACGTTAGAACTCGGGCGATTTCTTTGGTCTGCACCGCTTGCCCGTTGCTCAGCGCCGTGGCGCATGTGGTGCTCTCTGGGGCGGGTTTTGCAGGACAGAACAGTGCCAGGCCGGCGGCAGCCCCCTGCGTCCTGCGTCGTCGTCAGCCATCACGGTTTCCTGGCCCTCGTCTCGGGCCTTTCCGCGCCCTTGATGCTTGCTCACCAGCGGCCCGGCTCCTGTCAGCGGCACCGGGAACGGGCTGCGCCGCCACACAGGCCGCGTCTGGCTGGCACGGGAGAGGAGGAGCAGCCCGAGGGCTCTGCCACTGTCAGACCGTCACGGCGTCATTGAAGTGAGAGGACGCGATGTCCTGATTCCTCGCTGGCCTGAAAGCTCATCGCTCCATCTCGCTCTGCCTTCGATCTCACTTGCTGCCGCTGCCCTCAGCCCTCGAAGCGCCCCTCACTCATGTTTGACACCCCAGGAGTCTACTTCGTGTGGACAAGGAGGAGCGGGGTGTGCTGGTCCGCGAGGAAGTGGCAGTGCCATCCGGGCCGGCCTCGGCCTCTCCCAGCCCCCAGCAGGGGGCCTGCAGGGCGGTGGCAGCGCCCGCGCCAGCCGACAGCTCGGGAAGCGGAAGTCGGGGAAGGAAGTGGTGCGCTCTGGTAATGATGCTCGTTAAGTCCGCGGGCTTGTCCGCGGGTACAGATCCTGCTCACCAGAGCGCGGGGAAGAGCACGGCTCAGCGAGACTCTTCACCGGGGAGCTTGCAGTGAGGCGCGCGGCACGCCAGGTGACAGGCGAAGACGCCACCCGGGACGAGGGCTGCTGGAATCCGCCGGAGCGTGGAGAGCAGCCTCACAGAGGCAGAGGCCGAGACCAGGGCCGCAGAGCCTGTTAGGGGTCAAACCGTAACTGGGCACCAGGCCTTCTAAGTCTGGGCTTTTCCACAGGCAACAGGATCTTCGCTGAATGACAACTCTCGAGTCTGAGAGAAGATGCAGAATGATTATAGTGACAGTCGGGAGTGACGGCTGCTTCCTCTGGGCTGGATGTGGACTGATCACAGTCTTCACAGCAGCCTCTGGGCGTGTTACCCCAGGTTCTGGGCACTCAGCATTGAGGGGGCCTGTCTGGTCATAGCTCATGCATGGTGTCACACAGCCGTCACCTCGGCAGCTGTACCAGTGTCAAATAAGGGTCTTAAAAGACCTGCCAAATAACCTTTCCTGTATGTCACCTGAGCTTAAACTTGCTAGGTCACAGAATCCTCAGAGCTGAATGCAAGCTGGATCTGGCCCCAGAAGATGCCAGTCTGTGCCCTTGAAACAGTTTTCAGTTAACGTGGACTCCCGCCCTCAAGGTCGAGAAGCTGGGAGCTCCCGAGGGCCAAGGCCTCCTGAAGGGCCAGTGCTGCTGCTGTTATTGTCACAAGATATGAGTGTCAAAATATTTTAAAAAGTTGAAAAGCACTTTAAGATCCCCAAACTGAACACAATGCAATGTCGCCAGCAGAAGCGGGGAGCACATTGTGTGTTCATATAGTAGACTATCGTTAGGCAGCGGGGTGACCTGCTGTTGCCACAGCGCCCCGCGAGCACGTCTCAGAAGTGCAGTGTTGGGTGGAGGCGGCCAGCCAGACCGGCGACGCCGGAAGCTTCCTCTTGCTCAGATGGGCATGGCTAGTCTGCACTGTGGTGCTGGCAGTCAGGATGGAGGGTAACGGGGAAGGGAGTCGTTCCAGGTTGGGGCACAAGGGAGCCCTGGGGGGCAGGCAGAGCTCTGTCACGTAGTCGGGGTGCTGCTGGCTACTGGGTGTGTCACTTGGTGAGAAGGCTTCAGACTGTACAGTTAGCATTGGAGCACATTCTCGATGTGTGTGAATGTTTTAGCGAAAGCTTTCTCAAAGTTCCAGCTCACGTGAGTGCTTTCCGCTGTTCTGCGGACGTGCTCTGCGTCCCCATGGGAAACCTTGCACCGTTTTTTATGAGAGCTTCCATCACTTCTCACGTGAGGAGGGCGGGGCTCAGGCATGAAGTAGTTTGCCCAAGGTCACACAGCCTGTGCCAGCTTATAGCTGCCGTGCCAAGACTAATGTGTGGCAGCGCAGATGGCCACAGCATGACCGCTCTGGGCCAGGCTCCTCCCCTCGTCGTGGGAGAGAAGTCGGAAGTGTTCGCCCAGCTTCTCAGTGTTGACACGCTTTATGGGTGGCATTCCCACGTTGAGTGACGAAATCAATTGCTAAATGTCGTCTTGGCACATAAACAAGGTGGACAAGACTGACCAACCACGGTGGCCCTGTCCATGCCTGCTCTCATCCCTGGTGGTCACCCAGCCTTCTGGGCAGGGCCCCAATTCCCTGCATGGAGCACCGTGTCTGGGTTGGGTCTTTAGTGGAGCATGTTGTGCAGCGTCCCCAGCCCTGGGGCCAAGTTGGGACGAGGGGTCTCCTCGTGGACCGCAGCGGTTGCCTGATGGCTTGCTGCTCCTTGTCTCTTTTTCTTAAACATTTTTATTAATATTTCAAACGCATAGGAAAATATGGACAGAAGCATTCCCCATCCAGTTTAATAGCTAAATACCTTTACATGTGCACCCAAGGTGAAGACTTGTGTTCAGAATAAATATGATGAATGGATGCTAACCGCTCTCAGATGTCTGCTCTGCGGGAGAGCGCGCTGCCACTCCAGGTAGAACGACCTCGGAGCTCTCGGGAGCTTACTCTCTGCTTCCAAATCAGTGTTTCCGAGGAGTCTCACCTGTGCTCATGCGGGGAGTAACCTCCACCAAGGAGGGAGCAGAGGCCCGAGCAAGACAAAGGAGCCATCGGGGTTGGGAGTGGGCGGGGGTTAAAGAGATTAATCCCGGGGAGTGGGCGTCAACTTAACAAACCAGGGCCCTTAGCCTTTCGATTGTTTTGATTTTCAGGTTTATTGAGCGCCGCCCCCCCACCCCCCACTGAGAAAGAGTAGCTTTGTTGATTTTTGTTTAATGATGAAAGCTTAATGACGGGATATCCACGCCTTTGAAGGCCCTCTCGCTCTCTTTATCTGAGATTTCTCCACTGAGGTTAATTTAATCCAACTAAGTTAAAAACTAGCCAGGGCACTCCCTAAGTGTATGTAAACAGGCAGGAATGTCTCAGCCTTGGTGACCACGGGAGCAGCACGGGGGTGGGTGTGTGTGTGTGTGGTGACCACGGGAGCAGCACAGGGGTGTGTGTGTGTGTGTTTGTGTTCCTGTTTTCTAGGAGTGGAAACTGCACGTGAGACTCAGGACACCTTGCTACAAGGCCTCCCTCTGCCCTTGGTCTTGGTTGCACTTGGTCTTTGATGAGCAAGTCCCCTGGGTGAACGAGCTGAGGGAGGCTGATTGGTCGCTACCCAGAGTGGAGACAAGCACACACCTAGGGGAGACAGCCTGGGCTGGAATTGTACGCGCTTCGTCCAGCCACCCTGTGACAAACATTCTTGGCACCAGAGCTGTCTTTCGTGGACAAGCACTGGGGCTCATTTTCTTGAGGTTTGCCCTCCATGGCTTGAGGGCGAGTGTGTGTTACCAGTGGATGAAGATCCGGGGATGTGTTCCTTCCCCATCGGACTGTCACATTAGCAGGAGGCATCCTAGGCCACCCCTTTCTTGGACAGTAGTGGAGGCCAAAGAGTATGATGTGCTTTCCAGGCTCTGTGTCCCTGTCTGGTCCCTATCAGCAGCTCTGAGCCCTAGGGCATAGGTACCAAGGCACAGGGGAGCAGCCGTGAGGGGCTCCAGGAGAAGGCAGTTCGCTTTAACATAAGGGGGTGTTCTGACTCCTCTGTTCCCGTCCCATCCTACCCCCCAGTTCTGCTCCCCAGTCAGCTTGACTTTTGTGGCTCAGATCTGTGTACCACTTAATGAAGTGGCTTTCTAGCTGCCAAGGACAGAGCCGCTACTGTTAAGTCACTAACAACGGAAAACACTGTGAAATGCTCCAAGGGGTCAAGCTGCGTCCAACCCAGTGTGGTTCTAAAAGGCTAATAAAAATCCAGCAATTAATTGTGACAGCTCAATGGAAAATTATTCAATTGTGAACAGAGACAAGCAGCAGCTCGAAAGGAGGCGGGAGATGTTGCCATAGTAACATCAATACAGGTTCTCATCTCAGCAGTTGAAGCCAGCCTGGGAGTAAGCAGTATCTGACTGCCGTATCTGACATGAGACGGAACACAGGACACACCAGAGCAGCGTTAAGAAGAGATGCTCTGCCTCGCCCCAGTGGCTGAGCACTAACTTCCCTCAGGTAGAGCGGATGATTTCAGAATGTTCTTTGCTTGGAGAAAACCAGGGAGAGAGCAGTCAAGTGCAGGAGGAAAATACACCGTCTGTTTCTCTGTACCTTGGACCATGGGCATTTTACCAACTGCCAATTAAGGGGATGCTGGGAGAGGTGTGTGGGTGCATACAACACAATTTCCATCTCCCCAGAGTTGAGGCACTGGCGGCTCAGGAAAGCGAAGTTCCTAGTGCACAGAGGACCTGTAGGCAAGAGCCAGGCGAGCTGCTTGTTACGGCTTTGCAGTTTACAACTATTATTTCAAAAGATCCGTATACCATTCATATTCCTAACATTTGAAATGCAACCTTGCTATAGCAAAAATGGATTCCTTGCTCATGTCCCACGAGACACTTGGCTTGACAAACACTGTACCATCGAGGGGGACAGTTACCAGAAGGGGATGGGCAGCTGGTTCTGAACAGCATCCCGACACCACAGCAGAGTTTTCTTGCCAGAGGGGTCGTGTGTTAATGGGGCGGAGAACAAGATTTTATTTTTCCATTTTTAACTTTCAGAACTGTACTCTTTACCCAGTGGAATGTGCTCATTCACAGTTGCTCTTTGGATGTCAGCTACAGACGTCCCTATGGAGACTGTCAAATCTTTGATCACCCCACTGCAGTCATTCCGTCTGCCTGCCTTCAACCCGGAGCTGGCACAGCCAGCTCTGTTCATATTCGTGGCCCAACAGCATCCCGGACTCCATGCCGCTGGAGCCAGGGGGCTGACCAGAACCAGACCATAGTGTGGGTGAGCTGCGATGGTGGAGTCATCTTACCCAAGATACAGCTTGCTTTGGTCACCTCTTTTTGACACCACCCAAGTTTTTGCTTCAGCAAAGTTGAAAATCAGAAGTAAGCACCCACCTAACCAATCCTACTGCTACTTCATTATAATAATAGCCACATCTCAGCGTCTTTGAGGCTTGTGGAGTGGAAGTTGGGGGCGGGGGGAGGCAGTATCCAAGGAGAAACCCTCTCCAGGGTGCCCTGGCCCTTCACCGCCGGCCAAAGCGGAAGCTGAAGCCACCTTTCTTCCTGCTGTAGCCATTGAGCTCCTCAGCCAGGGTCCCCAGTGGGCCGCTAGCCTCGCCATCAGCCGGAGGGAAGCTGGCAGCCTCGTTGCCATCATCCTGCCTCCCAAACCGAACCTGACACCGGCATGCTCTCTGCCTGACATCTGCAGCTCCACGGCTGTGCCGAGCAGGGCGTGTGGGTGTGGAACTCTCGGCTGCTGTGAGGAGCCCCATGGGAAGTGGACTCGGCGTCCCCCGGCCCAGCTCACTTCGCCTTCAATGCCACCCATGGCATCCATGGGCTTTTCTCTGCCCAGTAGAGGAAAGCAGGTGCCCCATGGCAGCAGGAGGAGGCAGGACAGGAGGCAGGGGCTTACCATCTGGTCGGAGGAAGGAGACGGGGAAGTTACAGGCTGCCGTGTGGGCCGTGCACAGCACTAGTCAACTACCTCCCCGGGCCTGGGCAGCCATCAAAGGCCCAAGCTGGTGGCTCAGCTGAGCCCCACTTGCAAGCAGCATGAAGTGTCACTACGTGGGGAGACCATCCTTTATTTTCTTAGCAGGCTCAGGAGCTGATTGTACCAATTAGGCTGCTTCTCCCTCTTCTGCAATCTCTGGGTTTGACGGCTGTGGCAGCTTAGCGCTCTAATCCCACCACTGCTGGGGTGGCTCACAGCATCACGCAGGCAGCCTGGGAAAGCTGGGCAGATTTGGTTCATTCTTCTTTTATTGTAATTATTGACTCTTGGCCAATCATCTCAGAGCCGCAGGGTAGAAAGTTAATAGCATCAATCTCTCTTAGTTTTCGACTTGATAATAAATAGGTCTGGCTGAGCTGTTTAGCTGGGACTCTACTGATGTCTCTAATGTGGAAATGAGTTGCTCGTGAAAACAGGAAACAAATTTGATGTACCCGGTCTAACTCAGACACCCGACTGGAGAGGAGCGTGTAAACATGGCCGGGGTGTCAGTGTCTCTATTAAGCCCCATCTGTGTGCATGGCTGCACTTTGTCTTCACGATAAACCTTTCAGGCACCGTTCTTCCCATTTTTTTTTTTTCGTAAAAAAAAAAAAAAGGTCAGAAAGATTAAGACTGTGCCTGGGCCACATGGCTAGAAAGTGAAGGCTCTGAGACTCATGATTCTAATGGCCAGGTGCTTCTCGGCACGCCAGACCTGTGGGATAATATCCAGGAGATGTTATCCCGTTACAGGAGGCAGCAGGCTCAAGCCGGTGATTTGCCCAAGACCTCAACAGCTTTTAAGCGACAGAGCTGGAATGCAATCCCAGGTCGAACTGGGCTTGACTTGGGAATTGCTACGTGGATAGGGGTCCATGGAGGATCTGCAGCCAGACTAGAGCTTCCTCATATGCCCCTGCCTCGGCAGTGACTGCTCGTTCCCTCGCAGAGGAAGCCTTTTTGGTAACGACCGTGGCGAGTCAGCTGGCTGGTCCTTCGGGGAGGACGGAAGCTGGCAACGCAGAGCTGGCCCTGGAGACGATGGCACAGATGAGCGCTCTCCAGAAATGGCTCCCTTGAAGACATTTCAAAGTGAGCTCTGCCAGAAAGCTCCACAGAAATCACAAAGCAGCCCTCCTCTCTACCCAGATCCAGCCCTCCTAAGCTGCTCGTCCCTGGGGCCGCTTCGGGAAAGCCTTGCATCAGGCCTGGACAGGGCGGGGGGCTCTCCACAGCTGTTTCCTCCCCATAAAACGCTGCCAACAGCTGTTTGGACCGGGACGATCCCACCTCGTAGATGAATCTACCTGAGGATGGCCTCTGGGTCTCGAGAAAGGGGACTTCTTGATGCACAGAAAGAAGTGGCCCTCCTCCCGTGGAGGGCAGCTCCGGCCGCCTCTGGGCTGCAAGATGAGGTGCCAGCGTCACCTCTCCAGGCCTCCCCAGCCCTGAGACCCCCTGCCCAGCTCCTGACCTGGATGAGGGCCTGACGGGGTTCCTGCGGGTACAGAGCAGCTGTACTCACCCTGCTGTGGACAGGCTCCTCTGGGCTCTCGTCCAGGAGGTGTGGCTCCTGACGATCCCTGCTTTATATAGGTCCCCTGGGTGGACTTGTCACCCACTGTGTGCTCTGACTGCTGCACATTCCTGACCCTGGGATTCCATTGGGGACACCGGTGGTGAAGGAAGGGGCAGTTCAAACAAGATGTGGTCTGATGAGGGGCAGACGGGCCGCCCTTTGCCCAGAGAACCACCTCATTCGGAGGAGAGCGGGCAGCGTCATTAACTGAATCACGGGCAGACCCTCGAGCCCCTTGGAGGAGGCGTTGGTGCCCCACCCCCCCTTAATGACCCTTACGGTCCTGCCTGTGTCAGGCTCGCCTCACTCTCCGCAGCAGCCATCGGCGGGGGGCGGGTTGCCGGGCTGGGTGTCCACACCTCACACACCTGCGGCCGGGCCAGCACGCCACTCCCCGGGCTCGGGATGACAGATGCCCATGAGGCCAGCGATTGCCTCCAGTCGAGTTAGGTGAACGGTTGCTCAGTGCCACAGTCCACCCGTGCTGGAGCCTTACACGGGGTGTTCGGTGCCAACAGGCTGAACCAGGCAGTGGCTACCTCCCTACAGGAGGCGGTGGAAGGGGCCCAAAGCCCCGGCCTGGGCCGCTCCTCTCTCAAGCCCAGGGCCTGGCTCGTGCCTGCGCCCGTTCGGGGAAAGACGGACAGGCGAGCGAGGGTCAGCACCGTGGCTCTCCACGGAGCGGCTTTCTGAACCTCAGCTGAGAGCGGTCACACCGCCTCTCCGGCCACAGGGCTACTGCACGGAGATGAGGCGGTTAGGCCACCGTGGGACTTGACGAGGGCTGGGTGTCAGTTGTCACCCACGGTGGATGACGCCAGTCTTTGTCACTCCCCAGCCACTTGCTTCCAGATGGTTTTTCCCCAGGCGAGCTCACTGGTGCGGGCGGGGAGCACCGCATGTCACCCGCACGGCACCCTTACAGAGCGGGCGGCCTCGTGGGTCCACACGTCCCTGCGGCGTCCGCTCCGGTCTGGGCGTGGCCACTGGCCGGCGTCTTGCTCCTGTCTCGCCTCAGGATGATTCATCCGAGGTCTGCTCTGCGTGTCATCGCAGAGCACCCCTGGGGTTTTCTCCGGGCAGCAGCCGAGGGGGAGGCGGGGACCCATCACAAGGAAGCAGGAAGTGTTTGCCGGTGGGTGGCACCCCTCTGGCACCCAGCAGTCCCCACCCCACCCCTCTCTGCACCTGAGGACTGCCTGTGGGGAGACCAGCAGGAGGTACAGACACAGTCTAGCCACGCCCCCAGCCTGTTCCCCCTGGCTTAGAGGCTGCGGCCGCCCTGCAGTCACTGGGGACGGCTACTCAGGCCAGGCTGGGGACCGAGGTGCTGGGGGGGTGGGCAAGAAATCACGCCCGAGGCCACCACCCCATGGGAACAGACAGGGCCTTATGGACACTTCCCCGCCCCCAGCAACCTGAGGGAAGGGCTGCAGTCTACACCCGCATGGGGGACGATGGCTCAAGAGAGTGCTTAGCTCCGCCCCCAGCGGGAAGCCGTGGTTTCCCCTTGACCTTGTCTAGCCAGAGTGGGGTCCAGAAAAGGCGGACAGCCAGCTCATGGTTGACTTTGGGCCCTCCCAAGGGGTGCGCTCTGGCCTCCCGTGGTGAGGGCGACAGCTTCGTGCAGGTGTGGGCAGAGGGTGCGCCCACGTGCCTGCGGGAGCAGGTGCAAAGGCGGCCTCCATCACCGAGGGGCCGGCGTGCGTGCGTACACCGGTGCGTGTGAGGGGTGCAGT